GAGTTGGTCTGGTGGCCGCCACAGATTTATTTCTGCCATCATATTTCAGCAGCCATCAAATGGTCTTCATTGTCTCTTCTCCTGTGTTTTTCATTCCTTACGTATTTACCTCTAAGATTGAGAACAAAACAGAAATAATATCCTGACAATCCTTTGTCCATGTTAGATAAGACCCTGAGTGTACATATAAGTAAAGATGATGTATGATAAATTACCTTTCGTTCCACCGAGTGACTGTATGATCTGTATAATTAGTGAAAATTGTTGGTAATGTAACGAGAACACATTGGTCCTTTTTTTTTTTTTACCCTTTTCTTTCCTTAAATGCCGCTTGCTCTGTGTGTGTGTGTGTGTGTGTGTGTGTGTGTGTGTGTGTGTGACAGACAGACAGACAGACAGACAGACAGACAGACAGAGACAGAGACAGAGACAGAGGCAGGATCTCACTATACAGTCCAAGCTGGCCTTGAACTCACTTTGTAACCTAGTCTGACCTCGAACTCACAGCAGTCATCCTGCCTCAGCCTCCACAGTGCTAGTATTACAGGCGTGCACTACCATACCCGGCAATTTTTTATTTTTTTGTTTGGTTGTTGTTTTTCATTTTTTGTTTGGTGTATTTAGTACAGGGTCTACAGAGTCTCACTACACAGATCAGACTTGTCATGATCCTCCTATTTTCAGACTCCCAAGTGCAGGGATTACAGGCTTATACTACCATGCCTGGTCTCAATCGCCATTTCAGCACACCCTGGGGGGGCAGGGCTGGCACAGCAGGCCTGGGATTGAACCCTGGCCACTGCATCTGCCTAAATAGGTGATTTAATCTGCTGAGCTATCCAGCCAGCCCCCAGCTTTTCATTATTATAGATAATGCTGTATGAATAAGTTGGTACATAGCTTCTTTTTTTCTTTTTAATGATTTCATTAGGTTAGGTTAATTGTTGGACCAGAAAGTACAAACACTAACCACCAGATTTCATTATTGAGTCTGACAGTGGTCTGTCCTACATACAGAACATGTCTCTCGTACTTTTTCTTCCTTCCCTCTCCTTTTGTTTCTTCTATTTTTTCTCCTATATTCCTCAATAGACATTACATTGTTGTGCTCTAAATAAATAAACCCTGTACTGGGGCTTAAGTGTGTTAGCTTTGATAATAAATTCAAATCCAGTGTTTTGCTTTTATTGAAATGAGAAGTCATACCCACTTCTGTTTTTCAGACAGGGACTCTCCCTCATTCCTATCGGCTTATCAGCGTCGTCAGTCACATTGGCAGCACCTCTTCTTCAGGTAAATGCATACTGTCAGTTGCCTCTTTTTGTGGGTTTTTTTTTTTTTTTTTTTTTTTTTTTTTTGGCCTGGCTTGGTGAAGTATAACTTGAATGCATCAAGATAAACTTAAAAGCTTTTCCTTGATCACTCCCAATATAAATTGTGTTAACAAGTATAACTACTTATTGCAGGTCATTACATTAGTGACGTGTATGACATTAAAAAGCAAGCATGGTTTACTTACAATGACCTGGAAGTATCTAAAATCCAAGAGACTGCTGTGCAGGCGGATCGAGATCGGAGTGGTTACATCTTCTTTTATATGCACAAGTAAGAAGCTGCCCAGTATCAAGGAACTGACTAAAAATTACCTAAATTCTTCTTCAAGAATAAAATGTTCCCACATTATTTGACTGGATGACAGTTTTTTGTTTTTTATTGTTTTTGCCTCAGGGCTGTGTCTCTCAATATTTCCTTGTAAATCTAGAAGATTTTCTCAACTTAGCATTAACTGTTCATTGCATACACACAAAAAACTATTCAATGCACAATATTATTTAGATGTGGAACTTAATACTATTTTATGATATGATAAAAGATACTCTATCATAAACTTTTATAGCCTTCTACTTTTTGTTTTGAGATAGGGTCTTTCCATGTAGTTCTGGCTGGTCTTAAACCATTTGGTAGCTTAGGCTGCCTTGAGATCATGGTGATCATCCTGCCTTGGCTTTCTAATTCTATCCAGCTAAAAGATCTGACTGATGTGAATGGAAATTGCATTTTTTTTTTTTTTTTTTTGAGACCTTGATGTGAAGTGCAAGCTGACTTTGAATTCACTTATGTAGCCTACTCAGGCCTTGAACTCACTTGCCTCAGCCTCCCAAGTGCACCACCACATTTGGCTGCATAGCATTTTTATTGCCAGTTCACCCTATTCTCAAAAATTACTGTCTAGGGATTTAAAATGATGGTGGAATAAATGGGGTATTTATTGAGTAAAATACAGGCACCTAATGCAGTTGTGCACACTTTTATCAGTATCCCTTTCATGTTACTTTTCTCTTGTCTGTACTTTGGTTCTGCTCCCTAACTTTCTTGTTGTATTTTTTGTTTTATTTTAAGGGAGATCTTTGATGAGCTGCTAGAAACAGAGAAGAACTCTCAGGCACTTAACATGGAAGCAGGGAAAACTGCCCGTCCGACCTCGTGAAGAAGCCTCCTCGTTGACAATGTGCACTGCATTTTCTCTCACTGCCACCAGTGTCTCCTTTCCTCTGCCCAAGGGAATTTGGAATTCTGCTTGATGCGGGAGCAACAAACAAACAGCTCAGGGCCAAACCAAAAGACAAATTTGCAGTTATGTAAAATACTCCATGCTATTTTATGGACACCTTGGTCTCATCTGTAGCTGATTATACTTTTTTTCCTATGAGAGTGGTACTTCATTTTGTCTTAGGAGTACATGTTGTGTGTGTGTGTGTGTGTGTGTGTGTGTATATATATATATGTACACATACATATGTAGGAGTACATGTTGTGTGTGTATATATATATACACACATATATGTGTGTGTGTGTGTGTGTATACACACACACGCAGGATGAATGGAGCCTTAAGGAGTTGGAGTGAACCACAAGAATGTGCCTGCTCCAAATTAACTGCAAGCCAGGTGTAGTGACGCACGACTATAATCCCAGCACTCGGGAGGCTGAAGCAGGAGGATTGCTTTGATTTTGAGGCCAACCTAGGCTACATACTGAGTTCAAGGCCTGCCAGAACAACATAGCAAGACCCTGTCTCAAAAAAAAGTCTTGCAGGAACATTGGAGAAAAGTAAAGCGTATCAGAATCCATTCACCTGGAAAATTATGAAGATACAGATATCAGTTGGCTGTTTGTTTTTATGTTCCTTGAGTAGCTTCATTTAAATCTGTTCTTTGTGGTGTTTCATACAAGTAAAATTCACTGGAAAGCCAGCTCTCCATGTTATGCTAACAACCATTTGTCCTCCTTGTAAGAGGCATTTCTGTTGCCTGACTTGCGTGTTTTATAGTTTATTCTTTTAAGTTTCATGAATCTGTCATGGCTGTGCTGTTTACATGCAGTTCCCAAGAAATGGATTGTTGGTGCTTTGGAATGTGTTACAGTCCTATCCTTGCATTATACACCTCATGTTTTTCTCTAAAGAGATTCCTTGACACACTTTGTTTATCCTGTTCCATCTATATTATTGTGATGGTGAAGTTAGAGTCTTCTATTTTTTTCTGTATCATGGAGCAGGCATGACCCTAATGTGTAGTAGAACAGTCATTGCTCCAGCTGGGGTGCTCTAGGGGAGACGCTCAGGCAGAAGGAATGAAGGCCAGGGCCTCCACCTCCCAGGCAGAGAGGGCAAGAGGGGTGCTGTGCTACACCTCAAGCCCTGAACCCCTAAAGCCAAAATCCTGCTGCACATGTGAAATTAAGTACATGAGCTGTAGGGAAAAACTTGAGCATTTAATTATTTGCTGTCTGGCTTCACCCTTAGAACAGGGTGAGAATTAAAATGTGACTAGTTTGGGTAATCCCAAGAACTAACAAATAACAGAGGTGTACGATACATTTTTTTCTGCCTAGGTGCTCTGAGTTGAGGCCGAGTGGAGATGCAGGATCAAGTGCTGCCTTAATCCCTTAGCTAAAACACCCAACTTGGTTCAGCAGATTTGCCAGCTGCAGGAAGGGTGGCTTGAGGGCGGGATTCTGTGAGCCCCAGTGTTAGGATCGTATGTAATTCAATATAGCGAAATGAAACCTTCATTTTCTTCTGATTTTTCTTTCTTTTATTATAGATGAAGGGATTATGCTTAAGTTCTTAGATAGTGACAAAACACATCAGGTTTTTAGAGTGCAACAACTTGTTAAAACTCATCACGAAAGATAATGCATTTTCTGAAAGATTTTCTTCAGAGCACTGCAGCCCCCCTCTGGAAACTTCGTTGTGTTCTGATGAGGTCACCTATTCTAAAATTTTGGACGTTGGAATTGTAAATGGCCTCAGCACTTTCGCTTAACTACTGATAGATGCTTTGCTTCCTGCCATCTACCAGCACACGTTACCATGGTGAGTGTTCTGAAATGGTACGGTGGTAGCTATGTGGAGTAGTTTAGAGCAGAGAGAAATATTTGTTTGTTTCTTTTAAGTTTTTAAATTTTTGTTTTCTACCAAGAGCCCTGTTTCGGTTTTCAAATAAGCATATTTCTCATAAATAAGTGCAGTGGTGGTGATTAAATTCTTCACTTTATTCGCTATCTCTGCATTTGAGAACTCTGTAAAATGATAGGGAGTGATGTGAGGTGTGCATTAGCACATAGAGAAGAACAAAATGGCACCATAAACTGAGATGGCCTCATGAGCAGCTCAGTGGAGTTGCTTTCATAGCTTCCGTGTGTGTATATCTTAGAACGCTTGGCACAGAAATCTGATTTGGTTTGACCTTCATGTGTTGGGCAGGAATTGTTGAAAATAGGTTACTAGAATATATGAGTTACCTCAGTGCTCCTCCTTACAAATCTGGGACTTGAATTTTACTCTGTCCTTTGTTGTGGCCTTGTGAATCTTCCCTTCTCCCTTCCCTCTTTAACTTACTCACTTTACTATAAATGAAGATTTCAGCTAGACTATATTGATGGGTTGGATTTTGTTTTTTGTTTTGTTTTGTTTTTAGCTGACTGTATATATTTTTAAATTATAAATAGATAATATATATATATATAATTTTTTTTTCACAGTGTGATCAGTTTGCCCATAGTTGGGGCTTGGGTCAGTTAGCAGTTTGGGGCCAGGAAGGGACAAATTAGATGGTAACAGAGTAGTACTAAAGTTCTAGGAAGTGTGCCCAATGATGAACCTATTGACCATGCCAAATATGTGGTGCATTACTTTAAATGGCTGAATTGGAATGTTACAGAAATTGATTTTGGATACAACCTTGTGATCTTAGTTGAAATTTTTGGAAGAGAAAACTAAATTAAAATTCAAACTTGATTTCTGTCTTCTAATATTATGGAGAGTCAGTTGCATGTAGACAGATGCCATTTTAATATTCAAGACTGTAGGCTGTGAGAAGATAATTTTTGTAGAGGTATAATGTTTGTACACACAAGTTTTACCTCAGCAGAATAAAATAGGCAAATCCACTTAATTGATCTCCTATTTATAGTTTTGATTCCAAAACTGTTTACTTGCTGTGCTTTGTTAATTCTGGGCCTAACTTAAATAGCTCAGCAGCACATATAACAAATGTAAGTGTGTTTACATTTTAGAAAACACAGTTATGCTACAGATCAGTTCATTAATTCCTCATGCACATATTAAACTACACATATCTTATTCTGATCAAATAAATCATCTAAGAGGCTTTATGATTTAGAACCTTTGCCAGAAAAAGTATAAATTTACTCTTCCATTTCACAGTTAAAAGAGGGAAAAAAATTGTAAATTTGTGATCTCCTAAAGAGGTTATATGGAAACAAATACTACATTACCCTCCCTCGTTTCCATCCTCTGAAAATGACTACAGCAGACCACCTTGGTTATCCAACCTTTGTTTCCTGTTTGATGTAATTAGCCCTGGATGTGGATTTTCGCTTTAAATCTGGGGAATGTCTGGAGCTCCAAGTACAGGTGGATCTCCCACATATAGGGAGGTTTTTAGAGATCTTAGTGACCGAGCCCCAGATGAATGTCTGTATCGTAAGTGTCCCATCATGGGGGACATGGCTTTTCTCCCCACCTTGCTTTGTATCTGTTTACCCTGTCTTGCAAGTGTGTACAGACACAGAGTAAAGTGTGTCATCTTCCTGATACACTACTACAAAGTTCTTGTTCCTTGATACTTGTTAGTAACATCTGAAAAAATATATTTTATTGGAAAGCTAAAGTAAAGCCTTGAGAGTTTTGTGATAGAATTATTTTGCTATTTCACCACAATCATTGATTCTTTTATGGCATGCTTTGATTACTAGGCTTCAGGCAGTATAAATTCTATTTATACACAATTAGTAAGTTGTTTCCTTTCCATGTATGCAGTGTGTCTGAGATTTTGAAGTTTTAGTTCAAAGTGTGCCAGTGTGAATAAGCATTTATAAGCCAGGTGTGGTGGTGCACACCTATAATCTCAATACTTGGGAGGCTGAGGCAGAAAGTTCATGAATTTCAAGGCCAACCAGGACTACATAGTAAGTACAAGGCCACCTGAAGCAAAATACTGTCTCCAAAAAAAGGCATTTGATTTTAGTGACATACTAAGTATAGAGATTCAAAGTACAGGTGTGCTTTTATGCCCACTGGCATAAGAATAGTGGATGAGGAGGCAGAGTCAGGATTCAAGGTCACCAGGTCAAGTGCCAGAACAAAGGAAAGTAGCCAAACTGGTCTGTTTCAGAGGCCATGTGGGTGTGAAACCTCCAATCCCCAGATCCCTCCTCTGCATTTCCTACCACCTCCGCTTCAGTGGCCTAGCATTGGTAGCTCTGCTTTGGGAGAGACCAGCAGAGGTAGGTTCCTACGCTTGGCTAATGAGCCACTCCCGGGATTGGTAGCAGCTTTGACCACTTCGTGAGGGTTTTTTTGTTTGTTTGTTTGTTTGTTTGTTTGTTTTCTTTCTTTCTTTGTGTTTATAGTGACTTTTTATTCTGATTTTTTGCTGTTTTATATGGAGTGGCACTTTATCTGTGTTTTAGCAGAATTGTACCTCTGGATCTTTCATGGTTTTTGTTTTCTTTTTAAATTATACAGAGTTTTTTGGTGCGTGAAATTAAAGCCTTTATTAACCTGCTATTGGTTTGACTGTTAACTTCTAAAAAGGACACACTCTTGCACACATCTCTTAACACCAGTGTGAAGTTGTGGACATCACATCGTTGACCGCCTGCCAGATCTCTCGTGCAGCAGCCTGATGTTAGGCAGTGGTAACCACCAAGTTCCTCTGGTTTTCTTCTGAAGAGACTATGAAGCTTACAGAGGCTTCTGGGTAACACTGCCTCTGCCTTGTTAGAGTGGAGCAGGGGGTTGATAACCATGAGCATTTCATTTCAGGCTTTGCTTTAGGCCTCAGGCCTAGAACCAGTGGATGGGGTATTCTCACTAGGTACTATTTAATGAGTATTGTGTAGCCCAGGAAGGCAGTCTCCTAGGCCATGCAACTCCAAAGAAGAGGTTCTCTTTCACTTAGCACCTGAGTAAGGTAGTGAGGAAAGTGCATGTGGAATGCAGAGGCCATTACTGTGGGAAAGATGTAGAACTGCACAGTGCTTCAGCCACCTACTGTAGATAGTATTTTTTAAAAAGGCAGTGCCTCAGAACTAATGTGGGAGTGTAGGGCTGCCCCTCTAAGGAAAGAAAGCTCTAGAATAAGATGGTTAAAAAATAATGTGATGGTCCAGGAGACAATCCAGCCCCCTTCAGGTCACAGGCTCCTTGGGGAGGTTACATCTTTCAGTGAAGGAGTAGGCAGATTACTAAAGTGGCATTGCCACACCCTGCTGCCTCACAGGCAGCCAGGGAATGTTCTCTTCAGTTGGTGTGTGGGACTAAAACCAGTAATGACAAAACCTCGAAAGCAGGGTAGGGTGCTGCCCTACAATCACAGCTATTCTTGCTTCTTAAAATAGTCCCTTTTCTTTCTTAAGATTTTGTTGCTTCCACCGAGGCAGGGCAGAGAAGGCAGCTGGAGTCATTCCCAAAGCCTTAGTAAAATCTTCAACAGACAGGTGCTCCTAGGAGAGGAAAGGGCCCAGGAGACAAAGGTCACAGTCTTCCCAGGTTTGTGGGCTGAGTCATACAGGTGTGGCAGAGAATCAATCAAATGAAGAGCAAAAGCAAACAGCTAGGCAAGTGCTGCGGACGAGGGCCGTGGCATTTGGGGGTTCCATGAAAGGACAGAAACCAACAGGGCTGGTTTTTTTTGTACAAGGGTAACATTCATATTAGTCTACAAATAGGAATTAGAACCTTTGACTTAGCTGAAGGAGTGATCACTCTTTAGACCTTAGTTATCCTCTCCATAAAATAGGTGGGATCCCATAAAGGCCAATTTTATTTTAGGATGAAAATACTACTACGTGGAGAAGGCTGTGGGGTAGGGGGCTGGTTCATCTACCCTCATACATCATAGCCCGGCCTACAAAACCAGATGATTCCCCAGACTTTGGCATCTGCCCTGTGCAGATGGACAAGCTCCGCTGCTGCCACGGCACATGTGGCTCTTCAGCTTTGGAGTAGGTTATAGATGGCTGCAAGCAAAGTAGTCCTAATGGTCCTAACGGGCAGAGCAAGCCACAGTCGGCATGAGTGTTGCTGAGGCATAAAAGCTGGCAGATCCAGATACGGTTACTTCCCTGTCAGTGGGTTCTGCATCCATGCATTCACCAAGGTTGAAAAAATTAAGGTAGAAACTTGTACTGAACACAGATTTTTTTTTCTTATAAAATTCCCTAAATAAGTGCCAGCAAGATAGATTGATATAGCTCTGAGGAATAAGTGCCTGCTTAGACAAGCCCCAGCACCATATGCCATGCTGAGCTGACCACTGAGACCGAGCATGGTGGCACATGCCTACAATCTCAGTGCTGGGGAGGCTGAAAACAGTATCGCTACGAGTCTGAGTAGCAAGTCCTGTACCAAATACGTTTTTAAAAAATCCTAAATATAACAGCTATTTACACAGAATTTATGTTGATTTAGGTATTCTAAATCATCTAAAGTATTCAAGTGACATGCCTGTAATCCCAGCACTCAGGCTATGGTAGATCACAATTCCAAGGCCAGCTTGAGCTCTCTCTAGAAAGTTAAATCTGGCTCAGACTACATAGCGAGACCCTGTCTCAAGTACACAGGAGGGTAAACATAGATTATATGCAACTACTATCCCACTTTACGTAGGACTTGAGCATTCATTGGTGTTCTGGGGTGTCCCAGCAACAATCCCCCTTAGGTAATGATGGCCAACTGACTGCTCTTGTTTCAGACGCTGAACAAATGCTCAAGAAAGTCAAGGTCAGGCCTGTGAGATAGTGGTCTAAGCACCTGCTTGGCAAGCGCTGGGAGCAGGGTTCGATCTCAGGCACCACATGCTGCACCAGCCCCGCCCCTGGGTGCACTGAGCTGGCCAAGGAGACTAGGCGTGGTGGCGCATGCCTGTAATGAAGAGGCTGAGACAGGAGGATCACTACGAGTCCAAGCTGCATAGTAAGACCCCATACCAAATACATTTTTTTTTTTAAAAAAAAAGGTCATCTCATTCCAACACAGGCTCCTCTGTACCACCCCGACTCCTGCCTTGACTGATCTCAGGCACACTGTGAAGGGCTCTTGTCATCTTCCCTCCTGGACTTGTGATTTTGCTTAGATGGTGGAAGGGTAGCTGCAGAAGGGAGACCCAAGCTAGGGGAAGGATTCTAAGAGGAGAAGCCAGAAAAGCCAAAGGACAAATTAAGAGACAAATTTCCCTTGCTATGTTGGGCAGAAAGCAAAGTACTTGGGTAAATGATTTGTGCTAGGTCTTTTTGTTGTCTTTCAGACAGGGTCTCCCTATGCAGCTCAGGCTGGCTTTGAACTCACTTTGTAGACCAGGATAGTCTCCAACTATCCTACAATAGCCTTCCAAGTGCTAGGATTGCAGGTATGTATCACAGCACCCAGCTCCTCGAACTCAGAACCTTGTGCTTACCAGGCAAGTGCTTATTCTACTGAGCTATCTCCCCAGCCCTGATCAAAAAGTTAGATTGCGCAGTTTTACCTTGTTACTCTTAGCTTGGAAATCATAGTCATTTACTACCTGTCCAGGCCTTTGGTATTGTGGCTGTTAACCCTGATATGTCAACCTCACTGGTTTAAGAAATGCCTAGCAGATTAATAAAGGACATTCCTGGGTGTAGCAGTGGGTCATGAAGTGTGACCTAGATCAGTCCCTCGCTCACTCTTCTCTGTCTTTGTTCCCATCTGCTTCTAAGCTACCGGGTGTTGAGCAGCTGTTTCACCACCCCTCCCGCCATGAGCTGAATTCCTCAAAACCATGAGCCAAATTAAACCATTCTTCCTTTCAGTTTTGGTGTCTGGTTTTGTATCCCAACCACAAAAAAGCTAATACAGGGATCTTCATAAGGCAGAGAACTGACCGAATCCACCTTTGTTCCCAGCTCTAAGATGGTACCATCATAATGCTGGCTACGGCAGCTAACTACCCTCCAGGTGTGCCCAAAGAAGGGCCCAAATTAAAGTAACTATAAAACAGCGTTGAAGTGGAGCTACCCTAGGGGACATCTACTGACTCACAGGGAGCCCTGCACTGCGCCACTCCTGCATAGACACTGTGGCTAGATTTCAAGCTCAGGTGGGTGTACTGCCCCAGTTCTCTAGCTTCTCCTCCCGCCCTGGACATTCTCTCCCTGAGGCTCCTGAGAGCTGGATACTGGAGCCTTCCCTTCCCCTAGCAGGGCAGTGAAGACCTTGTTTTGGAAGAAGAGAGTAAACTTAATCCCTTTGGGCATCAGCAGATTCCTCATAGCCCTGACTGCTATGTCCTGGGTCCCAGCAAGCAGCTGCACGGTGCCCTCCCTAGAGGACTCAGCCTGGCTCTGCCGGGACTCCTGGACTCTGACCCCTCAAGCTAGATATCAAGGACTGCCCATCCCAGTGGACTTGTGTCTTTCTGTGGCTTACCCGCTGATTACCAGCCTCGCCCGTATCCGCCTCCCTGAGGCTTACACTGGGGCTCAACACTTAGATTCTGCCCTGTCTACTGCCTGCAGCCAAGCCCACCACCCCACTCTTGTTACCAGTACCCTTCCAAGTTCAAAGCAACCAGAAAGGACTTGAAATCTCTCCTCCAGGGGCTGGGGAGATGGCTCAGTAGAATAAGCACTTGCCTGGCAAGCGCAAGGGCCTGATTTCAATCCCCAGTTCTGCAAAAAAAGAAAAGAAAAAAAAAAAAAATCTCTCCTCCCCTCCACACTTGATATTGAACTCTCAGCTCTCTCACAAGGAAACACACTACTTCCAGGATTTAAAAATAATCAGTTATAGATAACTGATTTTAAAATCTGAGGCTTCCTCAACTGGGAAACGGTTTCTTCAACTGCTTCTAGCATAGTGAGCTATCTTTAACATTGGTTGCCCTGCCCTTTAGAAACATTGTACATATGTCCTTTATGGGCCTGCAACATGATGGGAAAGGAGCACTCAGAAAACCTGATTTTTTCTTCTTGTCATTTTTGAGACAGTCTCACTATGTATTCCAGGTTGACCTTGAACTCACTGTGTAGCCCAGACTTGCTTGGATCTTGTGGTGATCCTCCTGCCTCAGCTTCCTGAGTACTGCATTAAAGGCATGCATCACCATGCCTGGCTAAAAGACCTGATTCTTGCTTTGGCTTTCCAGCTAGCTAGTTAGCATCACACAAACCACTTCCCCTCTGGCTGAACCTGCTTTGCTTTGGCTGTAGAACAGGCAGTATCATCAGCTGCCCTTCATAAAACCCTTTATATACCAGGACCTGGGCTAGGTGTCACTCTTACTGGGAACTTCCCGATGATACAGTGAGGACACAAGTGCCTCCTGGGCTGCCAGCCACTGGCCAGATGGGGGAATCCAAGAGAGAGCACAGGACAGTGTCCTCCAAGCAGTTGTAGAGCACTGCCTAGCATATTGCCTAGCAATGCATGCAGGCCTGGGTTCAACCCCAGGAGAGAGTGTGGCGGAGGCAAGGAGGGAAAGAAAAGGAGAAACGAAAGAGGAGGGAAAGAGGAGAAGGTGGAGGAGGGGGAGGGCGGGGAAGGGATGAGGGGACAAGGAGGAGAACAAGACAACAACGACAGGGTAGGCAGACAGATTTTGACAAGATCTTCCTGCTGTCCTCCCACCAGACCTGTCCCTGTACTGCAAATAACCAGCTGAACCGTGTGCCAAGTTGTGGGCTCCAGCTCTGCCCCAGATCCTCTGAATTGCTGGCCCCCGAACATGCACCTCAATCTGGCTGAGTCCTGGGTGCCTCCAAGAACAGGGCTGCCACACAGCCTGACAGGGGTTTGCCCTCTTGCTTCCTCTCCTTCCAGTTGCTCTTGCCACCTTCCAGTCTATCCTTCACTGGGCAGCCAGACTGATAGTTCATTTCTACTGGGGATTGAACGGAGGGCCTTTACACTGAGCTACCCTGAGACTCTTGTTTTATAAAATGTGTTATTTTGCAACAAGGTCTTACTAAGTCCTTAAGTTGCCCAGGCTGTTTGCAAACTTGCTATCCTGCCTCAGCCTCCCAGAGCTGCTCACTGACTTAGCACTATCTTTTAAAAATGTAAATGTGAACTGGGTATGCTGATGCATGCCTTTAATCCTGATAATCTAGGAGGCTGAGGCAGGAGCATCCCATGTTCAAGCCCAGGCCATCCTGGAATATTTAAGACCCTGTCTAAAATAATCAAAAATTTAATCAATCCTGTTCACATTTCAGAAGGAAATTTCTGATTAAATCAGGTTCTTTTTTGTAATACTCTCCCTACCCTCTGTACTTTACCTTTGTGACACTTAGCACAAAAATGATTAGTGTGCTCAGGCTTCTCTGGTTTCTGTCCCCCAGGGACACGAGCTGGCAGGAAAGTAGGAGGGACAGGTCTGTCTGGTTCACCAGGGTGGCCCTGGAGGCCAGATCTTCAGGTACTGTCAGGGAGGGCCACACTCACCTCCTTCCTGCTGGGGTCCACGCCCTCAGGAAGCTCCTCTACTGGCTTGTTCACTAGCTGCTCCAGGGGAAAGATGGGCAGAGGCCCAGAAGTGAAGCTGGTATGGACCGTGAATGTGTCCATTTTGGGATTTGTGATCTCCTAGAGGAAAGGAAGCCACTAATTAGGGCCCCACCTTCATGAAGACTTCCAGGGATTGGACCCTACAACTACCAGCTTAGTGGTTTGTACCCGACCAAAGTGTCATTTGAGTGACTGTCATTTTGTTTTGTTTGGTGTGCTAATTTATTTTTATTTTTTTCCATAAATTTATTGAGTGAGTGACTGTTTTATTCAACAACTTATTAACTTCTTCATAACTCCCTCTAGAGTTTGAGATCTACTTGTGTATTTATGACTCTCTTTCTTATCTGTTGATAGTGTCATCATACATTCACTTAGCCTTGACCTATCTGTCCTTTCCAGGCTGTGCTGTTCATCCACCAAGAAAGCTTTGGTGAGCGCAGTGGGGTTCTCAGCCTCTGGGTGTGGAGCTTGTGAGTGCTGACTGCCCCATGTGCCCGGGAAATTGCTCTCAGACCCTTGATGGTGTTCTGTAGAGTTGCCTCTGTCTTGTCTCTCCTATGAGCCCATGAACTTCTTGAAGGAAAAGCTCTGATTTCATATTCCCAGGCCTGTGGACTCAGTACACTTCTGTTAACTAATGGAAGGATCAAAGGAGGTGCATTTATTCTACTGGAAGAAGGGATCTCAAGAGCAAGGATGTGTGGGGAGATGTCACTGGTTCTCTAAGTATGGTCCTTAGGCGGCCCTGGGGGTTGAACAGAGGGCCTTCGCACTGAGCTACATCCCCAGTCTTTTTTTCTATTTTGAAATAGGATCTTGCTAAGTCACTGAGTTACTCTGCCCTTTATTTAAAACACATAGATTCCTGGATGCAGAGTCAAACCCTATGACCAAAAAACTTGGGGGTCTTGAAATTTGCATTTTAATATGCCGCCCCACCATCCAGATACCTCTGTGTACTAAAAATCAAAACCTGGGCCGGGGGATGTAGCTTGGTGGTACAGCACCTGCCTAGCATAGATAAGAGCCTAAGTCTGATCTCCAGCATGGCAAAAGATAACTGAAAACCATTTCATGAGGAAACAGACAAATCAGCCAGAGGTTTTGGAGTTAAACAGCAATAACTTCCAGAAGAAGCAGGAAGAGAGAAGGACACAGGATGCAGGAGTCTCCCATGGAACATTCTTGGCCCTGACTGCTCCCCGGCCACCTGCCCTGCACTCACCGCTGCGATCTGGCTCCAGTCCTCAGAGTTTCCAAGCTCCGTCTTCAGGTCCTCGTAGGACCTGGAGTTCTGTGTGTAAAGGAAATAGCAAATCAGACCCAGGGCTTGCAGAGGAGACAAAAGACTTTTCCTTCCAGGGTGGAAGGGCCTGGGTCTGAGCCAGGTGTTGAGAAGAGGGAAGGCAAGCCTTGGGCTGAGGCCAGAGGATGCCTCTGGGAAGGTTAGACGTGGGGATAGCCCAAGGGGACCACGCAAGGCTGGCTCTGTCCTGGCTCTGCCTGCTATGGGTGAAGAGAAGTGATCCCCTTTCACCCCACAGAGGCAGCACTGAGAATGCTCCCACACTGCTCAAACTCCAGGGTGCTCAGGGGTCCTGGGGTGCAGGATGGAAGCCCTACCCTAGAGGAGAGCAGGGAGCAGAAGGGTCCCCCTTGCAGCCCACTTCCAGGGCCTGGCACCCAAAGAAATGCAAGCCCAGTTGTCAGGAAGTGGGGACCCAGATGGATGGAGGCCTTGTCTGGTGGCTCTGGGGACTCTAAATTACTCAATAGAGGAGTTTAGGGACATAGAAGCTCACTGTCCTCAAAAATGATGTGTGTATGAGTGTATGCGTGCGTGCGTGCGTGTGTGTGTTCAAAGACCTCCATAGCTGATGGGCTGAATTTAGTTCATAAATGGCAAGGCAGCAAGCCAGAGCTTCTCAGTGCCACCTCACTGCCTCAGCCTAGCGGCTCCTCCTCCCCCAGAGTCTGCACTGGCTTCTCCTGCAGCTCATTCCTTCATTCACATACTCACACAGGAGACCCTGATGCCACCCAAATGCTAGGAACGACAGGTGTTCCCCAGCCCACTGGCTTTGTCTGTCCCTTAGAAACACTGTGTACTGTCAGCAACCCCATGGAGCAGTCTCCGTGGTGATGGAAATGTTCCCTAGCTGCACTGTCCAATAGGGCAGCCACTGTTCACAAGGGCCACTGAGCACTTAAATTGTGGCGAGCAGCGGTCTAGGAGGCTGAGGCAGGAGGATCACAGGGTCAAGCTCAGCCTGGCCAATTTAGGGACTTAGCAAGACAGTCTCAAAATATTTACAAGGGTCTAAACTCAGTACAAAGATCCTGGATTCAATCCTCAGTACTGGGGGGAGAAAAGTGACTAACAAAGGGATTGAATGATTTTTTTTCTTTGTTTGTTTTCTGTTTTGTTTTTTAGCAAACTCTCACTATGTAGTCCAGATTGGCCTCAAACCTGCTATGCTGCCCTGGATGGCCTCAAAATCTTCATCCTCTTGCTTCTTCCTTTACAGTGCTTGGGATTACAGCATTTGTCATCATGCCCAGCTGAATTCTTTTCTTTTTTTTTTTGGAACCGGGGATTGAACTCAGGGCCTTGTACTTGCCAGGCAAGTAATTACTCCACTGAGCTATCCTCCGGCCCCTCCTAGCTGAATTCTAATTAATTTAAAAATATGGATTTTACCTGTAATATGTATGACCTTACCTATCATATACAGAAGCTTGGCTTTACATGTAGTATACAAACCAGGCTCCACAGTTAGCCTGTTTTTGTTGTTTTATTTTTTGTAACACTGAGGATTGAACCTATGACCTTCATATTGAGCTACATTTCCAACCTTTTTTGTTTTTCTTTTTGAGACAATATCTTACTAAGTGATCAAATTACCCAGGCTGGGCTGAACTTGCTATCCTCCTGCCTCAGCCTCCCAGAGTGCTGGGATTACAAGTAGTATGTACTACCACAACCAGTTTAACTTGTTTTAATAGACTGCCTCCCCAGTCCCTCACTAGGGGCTGAATGGGCCTCCTACAGCCCTAGTTTTCACTCTAAGCTCCCTGTTGCCCTTTTACAAATAAGCAGGTTATAAATCCCAAAGAACAGAAGGGCTGTGGGAGGTGCCCCTACCAACTGTGCCATGAGGTGGGGATGCTCAGCTTGAGGACCAGGCAGGGCTGGGGCCACTTACACTCCACTTGAAGGGATCCCAAGCTAGGAACCAGCCCGTGAAGGTGGGGGGCTCATGTCCTTGCTTCACCACAATGATGGGGGTGTCAAGGTCTCGGCCGCTGGGGTGCGTCTTGAGGTACTCCTGCACAGTGGTGGCTGCAGCCTTCTTCTCCTCCTCGTTGGAGTTCTTCCCCACCCAGAAGAAGACCTGTGGAAAGCCCCAGCTATCAGGTGTTCCTCACCTCCCTGACCTATAGTGCCCTGCCTCAGTTTACCCCAGAGGTCCACTAGTACAGCCCTGACCCTGCCACTACCCAGCTAAATGACCTGGGCTTTATCCTGCCCTGGAGCCCCTCTGGGCACAACACCCCTTCCCTCTTTTGCTTTAGTCCCTGCTGTTCATAGCGCCATTCCAAGAAAACCCTGATGCTTACTGAGCCCTGAGGATCGATATTTGGGGCGTGGGCACAATCCCCAGGCCCTGATCCTACCTGGTCCCACACATCCAGCAGGAACACATCATCCTCTTCCAAGTCATCCTGATTGAAGTCAGGGATCTCGGTGGCCAGGAAGCGCCCGCTCTGATTGGAGCACTCGAAAAGCCGGGGCAAGATGACTGCATTTTCCTCCTGCAGCCTGCAGGGTGGAGGGGAGACCAAGTCGGCAGAAGGAGGTGGGGGGCAGAGGCTCAAGGACAAGAACTCTGAGGGACTCGGGCATGGAAAGGCATCTCCTCACCAGATGTCCAACTAATGAGGAGCAGGATGCCCTCCTGTCCTGCACGTGCATCGCATAGCCCTGGCAGGAAGCTCTCTGCCATCTTCCCTCTGCCCCCTCCTGCTGGGGATCATAGGCATTCTCTAGACAAAATTATTGCTTTTTGCTTTTGTTTTGGTTCTGGGAATGAACTTGGGGCCTTGCACAGGCTAAGCAAGCGCTCTGCCACTGAGCTACAGTCCTGCCACAAAACCCATTTCAAAGAGGTTTGTGGCTAGGTCTCCTCAATATCCCAGGCCTCTGTCAGCACCAAAGGGCAGGGCTGGGCTCTGGCACCTCCTCTTTCCTTTTTCTTCTTTTTGTGGTCTCTTTTTTTCCAGAAATTGTTTCATTATGCATTTCAGAGTGGCCCTGAACTCACTTTATAGCCTAGACAAGGCTTGAACTTGTAGCGATCCTCCTGCCTCAGTCTCTCAAGGGCTGGGATTACAGGAGTTGGCCACACTGCCCAGCCTGGCACATTCTTCCTGAAGGACAAATAGTCACCCCTGCCCCTCTCTTTGAACTGACTCCTGTGCTAGGAACACCCTTTGCCAGGGAAGCTCCCCCATCCTGGGTCTGGGGATCCCTTGGTGAGCAGTGTGGTCACAGCACTGTGCCCAAAGGACTTTAAGGCCATCGGCTGCCCTGGCCTCCTCATCACCCTGGGGGCCTGGTCCACAAAGTCTGCTGTCCATGCCTGCTGCAGGTTCTGGGTCGGGGCCCTCCAGTATCAGGCATGAGCTGGAGGCAGCAGTGCAGTTACCTCTTGGTGTTGGAATAGGGGGCCTTCCCGCCCAGTGCCATCCAGAAGTTGCCTGGCTCCTGCCCTTCTACCACCACTTGCTTCTCCGTTGGGGAGATGGTGTCGGCAACCATCTTGGCCATCTCTCGCTCGTCCCCACTACAGCCCTGGGCGGAGAGTGGGTCAGTTGTGCTGGGGGAGGCATCTTGGGTCCCATCCTACCCACCCCCTGCCTACTGTAAGAGAACTTGTGTGCACCAGGGCCCTGAGCACACAGCCCCATGGGGACAACTCTTCATCCCTCTCTAGTTTCTGATACTCCAGGGAACAGCAGAGGAGACAGAGAGTCCACAGAGGGTTAGAGAAGGACTGTGGGGTCCTCAGGACAGAGACAACAGGAGAGACAAGGATAGACGCAGGTACTGGGAGACACAGACACAGACCCAGGTGGACCCATGACAAACAAGAGATGGGCTCTGACCTAGAGGCAGAGGATCTGGGGATGGTCAGAGGTGGGGCACAGAAGGAGACAGCGATGAAGCAGCTGGAGACCCGTAAGCAGAACCTGCCGGACCAGGACTCCCACCCGACCCAACCCATCTGCTTTGAGAACAGGCACCCTCTGTGTTCAGCACCCACCTTCCCACACCACAAGTAGCAACAGGACGGGGTCTTGAGAATGAAGACGTCGTTGGAGTTGAGGGCGGTGGCCCGGGCTGGGACCTCAAAGGCCTTGGTGTTGTTGGCACTGGTTCCCCGGACTTGGAACAGCCTTGTGGAGGGCACAGGCTCCGAGCTGTTAGAGCGGGAGGTGCCTCCCTGCAGCACGGGGACAGGGCGGGAAGACAGGGCCCATAAGGAAAGAAGGGACAGAGAGAACCAGGGAAGAAGCTCTCCCCACCCACCAGCTGCTCTGACACTCCATAGCTGGGCTAATCTTTCTAAGCCTGGCTTTGCTCCTCACTCTCCTCTGCTCAGAAACATGCAAGGTTCCCCGAAGCTTCAAGACTACAACTGGGGCCTCGGCAGTGCTGTGGAGCCCTCACATGATGAGGAAGCCAGGTGACTTGACCACTCCCTCCCTATCTGACCCCAGGGATTCTGTGGCCAGGCTTCTTGCTGTCCCCCTGGGCCTTTCCCCTGCCCCAGCCTTGGGCCCAGCCCCTTCCATTGCAAGCCCTCACACGACACTTGCTAAGCCCTTCAACTCTGTCCTGGATATCACGACCCCCTGCAAATTCCCTTTCCACCATGAATTCTTTGCCCAGGCCCACAGGACTATACCCTGTGTGGCTTTGAACACAACCATGTGACTGTCCTCTCCCAGAGAATGTGGTAGGAGATTGCTAACCCTGTCCTAGCTTGGTGCTTTACAAAGGACTGTGTACTTAGAAGGTGTTCAATAAAGATCATTGCTTAAACAGCTGCACACCCGTATCTATTTCAATTTGCTGGAAGGCACCAGCGTGGTTTGGACAGGTGCATCATTCTGGCAAACCTCGTATAAGACCTCCTTTTTCATAAAGAGGATTCAAAGAATTGGAGCATGAAGGACAGAGAGCATTTGCTCATGGTGAGGGCTCATTATGGATTTTTATTTTCTTTTTTTCTTTCTTTTTAATTCCTAGCTTTTCAAAAATAATTTTTAAATGTGCTGGGCACATATATGTAATTCCAGCACTCAGAAGACTGAGGCAGGAGGATAACAGCAAGTTCAAGGCCAGCCTGAACTACATAGGGAGACTGTCTCAAAAATTATCCAAAAAAAATTTTTTTAAATGTTTGAGACAAGAGCAGGTCAAATAGCTCAGTGAATTAAAGCACCTGCTTAGGTAGATGCAACAGCCAGGGTTCGATCCCCAGCGTGCCAGCCTCGCCCCCGGGGCACGCTGAGATAGTGATTGAGACTGGCAATGGTGGCATGCGCCAATAACCCTAGCTCTTGGGAGGTGGAACACAGGCAGATCACTATGAGTCTGATCTATGTAGTAAGACCCTGTAGACCCTTACTAAAATACAAAAATAAAATAAATAAATATTTGAGACAGAGTCTGGCTCAGTTGATAAATTACTCAGGCCACCGTGCCCAGCCCATTATGTGTATTTCTAAACTAAGTGGTTGTTTTTGTTACCAGTTCCACACAAGTGAAGGAGCCTTGAAGGGTCCTCTCCTATGAAGAATGGACTTCACCCTCAACCCCCTCCTTATATCTTCTTTCCTGTCTCCTGGACACTCACCCACCCCAGCCCAGCAACCACACCTGATAGACCACCATGCGTCCCTTGAAGATGGACATGAGGTGGGGTGGCTCCTTGCCCATGGGGACGCGGACTTGGACCGGCTCATCATTGTACTTTTGGTCCAGGATAACAGCCTGATAGGCTGAGGCGGCGATTTCATCCTGGCTGGCCTGGCTGCCCTGAGGATGAGCAGGAAGGAAGGGATAGGGTGGGGCCAGTCTCAGCAACTGCTCTGTCCCCGGTTCTGACCTCCCCACCAGCCCCCAACCCAGCCTGACTTTGATCTCAGTTCTGACTCCAGCCTCATCCCAGCCCTGACCCACCTCGACTCCCAACCTACTCTCCTCCTTACTGCCCCTTGCTCAGGGAGAGTCCACACCATTCACCCCAGACCCAATCCTCTCCCTGCTCCTCCCTAGCTGGACACAGATGGCAGAGCAGAGGAAGGGAATGTGCAACAGTGATGGGGACTAAGGTGGTACACCGTCACCAGGGACATTCAAGCCTGATAGGTGCATGGTAGAGAGCAGCAGAGCTGGCTGGGCTTGTGTGGGATGAGACGGAGCCTGACCTGCCAGATGTACAGCAGGTAGTGCTGCTTCTCGCCAATGAGGTAGGTGTAGAGCAGCAGGTAGCAGTCACCTCCGTAGAAGTGGCCTAGCCACTTGGACTCCACGGGCACCAGCTCTAGGTCCTCAATGCGCCACACCTGGGGCCAGTATCAAGTTAGTGTAGGGGTCTGGCCGGCCTCCACCACCCCTTCTGGACCCAGCACAAGCCCCATCACACACACACCTGCACCTCCCCGCTCCCGTCGTCCACCATCTTCTGCTGGGCAGCCACCTGGGGCTGCACGTGCATGGATGTGGCATCAAACTTCACCTGCTCCACCTTGGCTGGAGTGGAGGGAATCATGACACCAACTGTCACCAGCCGAGGTCCCCCAGGTCCTCACAACAACCCTGGATGGTGGCTACAATTATTAGACCCATTTTATAGATGAGGAAAGCAAGGCTAGAAGAGATTGAGCAGCTCACCCAGCATTGCAGATAGAGAACAGCAGAGCTATGGCACAGAACCACATCCGCATGACTCTAACATGTCTGCTTCATCAAAGCCTCACTGAGAAGCCACGGGTAGGGAGACAAGAGCAAGGCGTCAAGTGCTGATGACCTGCTCCACTGTGATACGGGTTGTGCTGCCCCTTCACCCTCCCCCTAGGAGCCTGGCCCCAAGCATGACCTCAGCAAATATCTATAGAAGCTGTTTGCTTCCCAGGCAGGACTACCCTATTACAAATGAGAGGCAGGTCATTCTTAACTTCCTCTGTGTGATACTCGAGTTCACCTATGTCCCCTGGAGTCTGCACCCTGCTGGGAAGAGCCCCAAGCCAGGATAAAGGGTGCCTGGAATCCACCCATCAGAGGAGGGTGGAAGGCAGGTAATTCCCCTACTGGCCCTGTTCCTGGTTCTGGATTCCTCCACTGCCAAGATCTTGCCCTCACCCACGGAGCCCATGGTGTGGGTTTTGCCCAGGCCTGAGGTCCGATTGGGCACTGTCCACTTCTGGAAGAGCTGCTGGAAGACAGCTGACTCGGCCCCATCATTCTGCACCTCCACTTGCGTGCTCATGGGGTACTGCTTGGCTTTGATGAAATTCTGGGAAGAGAATGGCAGCTGTGTTCCTCTCCCGCCCCCAACCGCAGCACAAGCCACAGGCTGGCTCTACCTCCAGTCAGATCCTCCCTCAGATATGCCCCCATCCCCAATCCCAGTGCTAACCCCAATCTAACCTCATTGTGATCCAATTTCAAGGTCAGACCTGAAACTACTTCAAGCCTCATCTTAACCCTAAACCTAATACAGTAATGCCTTGTCCAATTCAATTTCTGTCCAGAATCATGGAAAGAATTAAGTTCACAAACTGAGGTACTATTGTAAATCTAACTCTGATCCCAACCTCAAGGCTAAATCTGACTCCTAGTTTGACCCCACTTCCCCTTAACCCTATTGCTCAGTTCCTTACCATAACCCTGAGCCCATGCCTCAATCCAACACTGACCTCAAGCCCATGTGACTTCCTAACTCCAGCTCCAACCATCACCCCAGACTCTGACATGGCCCTGACTGTGAGCTCACCCAATTCCCTTTTTGTAGTACTAGGAGTTGAACCCAGTTCCTTCACACTGAACTATATCCCCAGCTCTTTTATTTTTTTATTTTGAGACATGTTCTCAAATCACTGAATTGCCCAGGCTGGGCTTGAACTTGCAATCCTCCTACCTCACTCAGCCTCCTTGTTCCTTCTCTAAACCAAGCATGGGGAGGTGACAGCTTGGGTGCTGAGAAGCCCTAGGTTGCCTAGTGGTTGGCTTTCTGGTATGCAAAGAACTCAAGAGGGCTGCACAATGGCCCCTCAGCTCCAATAGCTGGATGAGGCCAGTCCCAGCCCTATCCTTCCCAGGGAGGACTACCCTATTACAAATGAGAGGCAGGTCATTCTTAGCTTCCTCTGTGTGATACTGAGTTCACCTATCCTTCCAGAATCTTCCCTGGCCACAGACCATTGGCCTCCTGCTGCTGTCTGCTTCCCTCAGGGTCCTGACCCTTCTCCCCAGTCCTTGTCCCTACCAAGGCCTGGTTCATGGCTTCTTTCCTCTCTTGGGCATTGGCATTCTTCCCCTTCCATACAAAGATCTTCTGGCCCCCCTGGTCCAGGATGTAACAGTCCTAGAATCAGGAGAGAAAATCCAGCTGAGAGCCTCATGATGCTGCTGGCAATGGGCTAGGCCAGCCTTCCTTCCAGCCCCTGGCCACCCCACAGCAGCCGTAAAAGCCTGTTGCAGCCCCCTGGAGTAAGGACACCTGGCATGGGGACAGGTGGGCCAGGCTGTTTGAGGCCCAGCCCTCTCACCTCATGGCTGAGCAGGTCCTGTGTGAACGGCTGCGTGGCAACTTCCCTAACCACCATCTTTCCCTCTGAGTCAGACACGCTGCCAGATAGAATGAGACATAGATGGTTGGGCCCAAGCCTCTCAGCCAGAGCACCTTGCCCACCCTGGAAGTCCCTAGCACCCAGGAATAGCCCAGCCAGTGCTCACTGGTACAACTTGAGGGCAGCCTTGAGTGCTGGCTCCACCACTGAATCGGAGATGGCTGCTTTCAGCTCCATGCGCTTGCCAAGCACGTAGTTCATCACCTCCATCAACTGCGGACTGGCCGCCTCATTCTCCCCCTCCACCACGCCCACATAAGTGCGCCCACCGCGCTCCTGGTCTCGGATCTCCTTGGCCAGGGTCATGCCCTGCAGAAAGGTGGCAAGGGACAAAGCAGTGTCCACCATCCTCAACTCTGCCAGGGGAGCCCCTGGCCACCCCGCAACAGCCTTAAGACCTGGGGATGGTTTTTTAAGGTATGCGAGGAAGGTGGAGGAGGGAAGATGGGGAGAGAGCTGGCTTCCTCATCTGGCAGAAGGGGTCTGGGGTACTTGCCTGGCCTTTTGTTTGACATGGTTTTCCACCAGAGCTAAGTCTTGAAGATCATAGTATTATTCCTGCTTTTTTTTGGTCCCAAAGCATACATGTACACTCACAGTGCACACATAGCCCCACCAATGCGCTCTCTCTCTCTCTCTCTCTCTCTCTCTCTCTCTCTCTCTCTCTCATGTGGACACCCACAGCAGTCTCACACAAGTTCCCACGAACATGATGAGCACATTCACACACTCAGCCCCCCAGGGAAGAGCCACCCTTACACACACACCGAGGCTCCCACCTTCTGGGGCTAAAGACCCCTCAGAGGCTGTCTGTCAGGTCTCAGGCTCTGACGGTAGCTGAGGCCTCGTTTTCACCTCCAGCCCAGCTCTCTGTGCTCGTCTTATTTATCCAACTTCCCAGAAGACAGATGTCCAAAACTCTGATCTCCCCAGCCCAGGAAGCAGGATGCAGCCTGGCCTTGTGGATCTCCAGCTCAATGCCTCCCTTCACCTTCACTCAGCGTCCAGGTAAGTTTGGGGTTCCACCTGCCAAGCAGGACCTGGGCACCCCTGGCCTCTGCTGCAGCTGCGTGGGCACAGGTTCCCTCGACCTCCATGTGGGTGTCAGATGGCTTTCAATGGTTTAGGGCATAGGACAGAAAACCTAAGCCTCTTCCACAGACATCTGGCCACATAAGCTCCCCTTATGCGAGATCTGCGTCTACCCTTCAGCTCCTGCTGCACCTGCGGACCCTGCCAGCCACCTCCTTCCTGCCATGGGCCTTCTCCTTCTCCACTGACAGGGGCTCGCTGTCACTCACCCCTGGATCCCAAGGCTTGGCCTGGGGTCTGCTACACTGTGGGGATGCTCTACCTGAAAAGCCTCGCCACAAGCTAGTCACACACATACCAACTCTACCACACCTCTCTCATGCATGTGGAAACTCAGGTACTGTCCCCAATACTCAGCCAATTGCAGGGGCAGGGGTAGGGAGCTGGTCTGGCTGTGGCAGAGGTTTGGCAAATTTTCCTGGGGCAGGACAGGTCAGGGTTACCCTGAGTCTCTCCATGCGGTTACTCTCTGGCCCATTCCACTGGACGATGAGCTTGCCGAGATCCAGGAGGAAAACGTCCCCTCGGTTGAAGCTCTTCCAGGACATATCCACCTAGGGAGCACAGGGACAGTCCAGACCCCACACAGGGCCCATCCATCAGCCTCACCTCTGGGCCACTCCTACCTGCATGTCAGCCCTCCTCAGCACCCCCCACCAGTGTCCCAGGGGGCTGCACACCTCGCCAGCCACCACATTCCTCTTGCCCTTGACGTGCAGCAGCCGCTGGACATTGCTGGAGTTGGTCTCCACATGCTTCAGGCCAGAGGCCACGCCCCCTCTCTGGATCCTGAAAAGAATCCATCCAGGAGAGCAAGGCTAAAGGGGTGCCAGGCCCCTGTGCCTTAAGTCTTTGGCTGCCTGGCTGCCCTTGGGGCTCCCTCATAGCATGAGGTGAGTGAGGTGCTTAGGGCACATACTATAAGGAAGTGGTTGTTGCAGGGCTCCTGCAGGTGCGAGGCCAGCCTGTGGTCTGCCTTTGCATGTAACCCTGACAGTGAGTGGCTCCTAAAGTCTGTACCCTAGATCCTCGTGCCCTAATGCTAGTCCCACTCCTGCACCAGCACCTGCAAAGATAGAGTCAGGAAGGCCAGGGCCCAGAGGTGGGGACTGAAGTGGAAGAAAAGAAGAGTGAGGAGCTGCTTAGGTACCCAAAGGTGTGGGCAATGATGTGGGAAGAGGAGAACAAGACGAACGGGGAGGTGGAGAGAGGCCCAGCCTGTCCTACAGGCCAATGGCAACTGGCTCTAGAGCACATGTTTCCCAGGGTCTCAGACTTTTCTGGAAAATCTGAGCTTTTAGGGCGAGAGTCCTGCCCAGAGGAGGATGGGCATCTGCTTCTTAGCAGAGGGAATGAGGCGTGGTGTGACACCCTGCAGCCCATAGGCACAGGCTCCCCAGGACATTCAGACAGGAGCCGATTGATAGAAATTCACAGTGTTTGGAACCACAGGATTTCAGAACGGCCTCCAGAGACAGCTTGAAGCATGCTCAGAGGGCCAGGGCTACAGCCAGGGCAGCAGTAGAAATAAGGGGAGGGTGTGGAAGGTGAAGAAAACCAGCACTCTGGGCCCAGCATCCCTGCCTCTTCAGCTCAGCCCCCATCTCCCACCCAGTTTGCCTCCCGAGCACAGCGCTCCGCTCCCTACACAAGGCCCTTCTTGAAGTAGCCGCGGAAGGCATCGCTCTCATTGCCTTGGACCTCCCGGTGCTGCACAGCCCGGCCCTTCAGGAAGTCGTCCATCTGGGTGGTGTAGATGGCAGCTGCTCCCTGCTCATCCTGGGATGAGTCCTGGCCGAGCCAGTAGTGGATGTCATAGGTCAGGTTGTTGGCAGTCTTGTGGATCTGGGGAGAGGAGTGTCCAGTGTGCCTGAGGTCCTGGGCTTCCATGCCCCACCACCACCCCATCTTCCACACACGTGCGGGCTGAACTGAAGAATGTGGCACAGGGGAGCCACTGGGCAGGTGGTCAGAGCCTAGACTCATAGCTCAGCTCTGTTCCTGAGATGGGAGGCAGGTGGCTTCTCTCTAACCCCACACTCCATCTTGGAAATAACTGGCTTAGGCTCTAGCAGCATTTCCCAAAAGCATGGTATTTGCGTGTAACCTACACACATTCCCCCGCTCCAGTTTTTTTTTTTTTTTTTTTTTTTTTTTAGATAGGGTCATATATGTAATCCAGGTTTGTCTCAAACTCTCCATCCTCCTGCCTCAGCCTTCTGAGTGCTGTGATGAGAGGCAGGCATCACCATGCCCAGTTCCTCCTATATACTTAAAACCATCTCTATATTGCTTATATCATGTAACGCAGTATAAGTGCTTGGGGAAAACTGTTCTACTGTATTGATTAGGGAACAATAACCAGAAAATGCTCAAGCACAGTTTTGTTTTTTTTTTTTCCTCCTGGACATTTTCAATCTGTGGAGGAATCCACTGCTAGACTTGGAAGATGACTGCCTGTGCAATGATGCAAATTCCTGTAATACATTCTAGAGACTATGAGATGCGATGCTGCTTTTCACTTGATGATGTGCACTTATAATCTCAAATAAGTGTATCTAAAAGGGAGTCTTTTTTTTTTTAACATTTATTTATTGTGGGGGGGCAGCTCAGCCCACCAGGGGGCGCAGCTGGCTGGCATGTGGTGCTGGCGGATCGAACCATGGTCCCTGTACTTTGCCAAGCTGGTTCCAAGTAGGTGCTTTAGACCACTGAGCCATCTCTCCAGCCTCTAAAAGGGAGTCTTAAAGTATATCTAAAAAGTTTCTTTTGGGCCAGCCAGATAGCTCAGCAGATTAAGATGCCCACTTAGGTAGAGTGCAGCGGCTTGAGTTCAATCCCCGGATGCTGTACTGGACCCAGCCCCTGGGGCATGCCAGGACAGTGATTGATAGTGGGCATGTTGTCACATGCTTGTAATCCCAGCACTTGGGAAGATGAAAACAGGAAAAATCACTATGAGTCTGATCTATGTAGTGAGACCCTGTAGACCCTGTACTAAATATATACAAATTTTTTTTTAAAGTTTCTTTTTTCATATAAAGATATAGCTCAGTGGCATAAGTGCCTGCCTGGCAAGTGCAAGGTCCCCAGTTTGATTCCTGGTACTATTAAAAAAAGAAAGAAAGAAAGAAAGAAAGAAAGAAAGAAAGAAAGAAAGAAAGATATAGATACTTTCATAGTGCAGGGGATACCAGCGTGTGGCAAAATCAAGAAGGTGATAAGAAGATGACTACAGATGTTAGAAATGGGGGGTTGCGTGAGGTGGTATTGCACCAACTCAGAAGGTCCCCCAAGACTATGAATCCACTGCAGTTGCCTGAGCCATGAGCTCCATGAGATGAAGACAGGAAGAACCTCTCACCCACACAGGCCTCTGACCCCTGGGGGGTGCCTGGGCTGGGCACCTGGCACACCAGGAATGCTGTCTCTCTCCACTGTCCCAGCCTTATGTGCCTGACTCACCACCACTGTGGGCTTTGTTCTCTGCTGAGCCCCCAGCCCTGCCCGAGCACTCACAGCCAAGACCACGTAGCAGTCACCATCAAAGAAAGTCCCAAAGGTGCTGGAGGGAACAGGCACCATCTGCATGGCCTGAGGAGAGAATGAGGTCAGGGGGTACAGGAGGAAGCTGACCAGGGGGATGCATGCCAGGAAGGAGTGGAGAAAAAGGGAGAGGGAGACGAGAGAAAGAAAACACACTGACACAGGAGAAAGGAGAGAGGAAACAGAAGCAGGGACAGAAAGAAATGAGTGACAGCAGGAAGTTAGAGGAAGTAGAGAGACAGATGGGAAAGAATAAAAGGGAAAAGTGAGGAAGAGGGGATGTGGGGGATGGGGAGGAGGTGGAGCAAGTGTGTGGGGGGTGCCGGCAGTGAGGAGAGGGGTTGGTAGCAGGTGGCAGCAGGTGCTCCCGGAAGCCACAAGGTAGGGCTTAAGGCGTGGAGCTCCCCAGGCTCTACCCGCCCTCTCCCGTTGTGTAGCGGGCTCACCTCGATCCTCCATATCTGCACACCCGGGGTGGTGATGTTGAGGGAGCTTTTGACTTGGGAGCTCAGCTTGGTCATGGTGGAGAAGCCTAGGGGACAAGATGGGCGGGAGCTAGGCCACAGAGCTGGAGTGTGCTGGGCTTCTGGTCTGCCCTTCCAGCCCACCCCCAGGGGGCACAATGTGCCAGGTGGCTGCAGGCCCAGCGCTGGTGGCAGAAGGGGCGCTGACTCCACATGCTGGGCCCTGCTGGCTGAGGGTCCAGTCTCCAGCCTTGTGACCCTGCTCTGGTCATGATGCCTCTGCCTCCCTGACTCCCTTTCACCTGCAGCACAAGCACGCCCATAGCCTGGCATTCCAGGGCCTTCTTTAGCTAGGTCCCAACAATTTCATATTTAAAAACCTTTTATCAAAGTCATGGTTGATTTAAATAAAATCATACAGGGGCCTTGGAGATAGTTCAGCCATCTAAGCGTTTACCTAGGCAAGCTCAAGGCCCTGGGTTCGATCCCCATTACCACACGCCAGTGCCAGCCCCGCCCGGGGCTCACCAAGCCGGCCACCAAGATTGGGTATGATAGCACATGTAATCTCAGAGCTGGGAATGCTGAAACAGGAGGATCACTATGAGTCTGAGCTGCATAGTGAGATCCTGTGCCAAATACATAAAATTAAATAATAATAATAATAAAAAGAAAATCATACATGTTGGTGCATACTTATAATCTCAGGCTCCAGGAAGCTGAGGCAGGACTGCCTTGACTTCAAGGCCAGCCTGGGCTACAAAGTGAGCTCAAGGCCCATCTGAGCTGCATAGCAAGACCCTGTCTTAAAAAAGAAAAAACATAAAGAGGTTTTTTTTTTTTTTTTTTTTCCCTCTGTATTTTAGGAAAGGGTCTACAGGGTGTTCAGGGTCTCACTACTAGATTGGAGTCATAGTGATTCTCCTGTTTACAGAGTCCCAAGTGCTGGGATTACAGGCCCACGCCACCACACCCAGGCTTAATTGCCATCTCAGCGCACCCAGGGAGCGGGGCCAGGGATCGAACCCCTGGCCTCTGTGCCTGCTTACAGGTGCTTTAATTCACTGAGCTATTTGGCAGGCCCTAATATAGAGGGGGTTTTTTTGGTTTTTTTTTTTTTTTGTTTTGTTTTGATTTTTTGCGGAACCAGGGATTGAACTCAGGCCCTTGTACTTGCCAGGCAAGCACTTATTTTACTGAGCCATCTCCCCGGCCCCTAATATAGAGTTTTTAAGAGAATGAAAAACTAGTGGATTAAAGTGCCTGCTTGGGCAGAGTGCAGTGGCTGGAGTTCAATCCCTGGCGTGCCATACTGGCCGTACCCCCAGGGCGCGCTGAGACAGCAATTGAGACTGGGTGTGGTGGCACATGCCTGTAATCCCAGTGCTTGCGAGGCTGGAAACAGGAGAATCACTACGAGTCCGATCTTTGTAGGTGAGACTCTGTATACCCTGTACACCCTGTCCTAAATACATTAAAAAGAAGAGAGAATAAAGAACTTAAAAATATGTGCGCTCAATAGGACTGAAAACCAGTATTGCAATAGTTCATAGCAGTTCTTGAAGTTCATAGCAGCTCTGTTCACAGTAGCCCAAAGGTAGAAACAGTCCAAATGTCCAGCTGCAGATGGAAATAAAGGGGTGTAGCTACACAATGGAGGATACTCAGCTATGGAAAGAGTGAGGTACTGATGTGCAGGTGCAACTTGTGCTAAGTGAAAGAAGCCAGAGGCAGAAGATCACATATCATGCAACTCTGCTTATATGTAATGTCCAGGACAGGTAAATAGGTAGAAATAGAGGCAGGGGTTGCCAGGGGCTGGGGTAGAGGACACGGGAAACCATTGTTAATGGGGACAGAGTTTCTGTCTGGGATGGTGGAAAAATCTGGAACTAGGCAGCAGTGATGGTTGCATGACATTGTGAATATATTAAATGCCACTGAATTGTATACTATGAAGTAGGTCAAATGGCTGGGCATGATGGTGCCTGCCTGTAATCCCAGCAATCAGGAGGCTGAGGCAGGAGGACCATTGTGAGTTTGAGACAAGCGTGGGCTACAAAGTGAGCTCAAGCCAGCCTGAACTTCATAGGGATAGCCCATCTCAAAAAGATAAATAAATGAATAGGTAAAATGGAAAAGTGGGGGCCGGGGAGATGGCTCAGTGGAATAAGTGCTTCCTTGGCAAGCGCAAGCACCTGAGTTCAATCCCCGGTTCCACCAAAAAAAAACCCCAAAAACCTAAAATGCAAAAGTGTATGACTATTTTGTCACAATTTTTTTTTTTAAGTGTGCCTCAGAGCATGGTGGTATAATACTATAATCTTACTCTGGAAGGCTAAGGCAAGAGGTTTAAAAGTTCAAGCCCAGCCCAGACAATTTAGTGACTTACCAAGACCCTGTATCAAACATTAAAAATTAAAAAGGAGCCATGTAAAAAAATTAAATTAAATTAAATTAAAAAGGGGGTCTAGGAAGATGGCTCAGTAGAATAAACACTTGCTTGGCAAGTGCAAGGGTCTGAGTTCAATCCTCAATTCTGCTAAAATAAAAAAAATTAAAAAAGCTATGGCCAGGAGTGAGGTACACACCTGTAATCCCAGCACTCAGAAGGTTGAGGCAGGAGGATTGCCATGAGTTTGAAGCCAGCCTGGGCTACATAGTGAGACCTTGTTTCCAAAGAGAGAAATAGAAACAGAGAAAAAAGACAGACCTTGGCTCAAATCAAGCACTGAAAAAAAAAAGAAAAACTGTATGCAGTAATCTCCTGTTCCTCCCCGGCTATTCCCGTACACCTTTCCATTGTTGCTGTGCTGGCCCAGAAGATGTAGATGCCAAGGCCAGGACCTTCTCTGCTTTCTCAGCACTAACTTCCCAATTTTTAGTAAAGTACTAGTCATTTGCTGGATAAATGAATGGAAAAAGGTAGACAGTGGAGAAGAGAAAGATAAATGAATGAATGAATGAATGAATGAATGAATGAATGAATGACAGAGTAAACTACATACTGAGCTAGGAGACGCCCTCCCCAGCTTTCTCCCGGCTGCTTGGTGCTTTGTTTTGACTTGTGGTGGTGTTTACTCCAGTTGCTAATCAGAATCACCTGGGAAGCTTTTAAAAATACTAATGCTCTGCAGCTCAGGCCCGAGGGGTTCAGATTGAATTACCAAGGGTGGGCTCTGGACCTGGCTGCTTTATTTTTTGCTGCTGGGAGGTGGAGTATGGGTACTCTGAAGACAGGATCCCCGGAGATCCTGTGATGAGCCAGGGTGGAGATCTTCCTGTCCTTGGTTAATCTCATCCCCAGTCCCCCACCCTACCATCCACCTGCTTGACTGCTCCTTGGACAGGTGACTAATGAATGAAAGGTCATTTGGCCCCTGGGGCTCAGGCCCTGCATACTGACAGCTGTGGATCTCTGCAGCTAATCTCTCCTTGCACTTTGACTCTGAGTCACATCTTGGAATAATAAATGGTCACTTGGAGACTCAGGGCTCTGAGTCCCAAGGGGAGGTGGCTCTTTCTGGTGCTCTGGGATTCCAGAGACCAAGCTGCTGGTCCAGTCTGATTGGTGTCCCTTGCTGATCTGGATCACTAGTCTATGACGGACAGCTTGCTGTGTGCTAGTAGGAGTCCCTTGAGCCAGGCTCCTCCTGATGTCCCTGTGTGCCACTGTCCCCTCCATCAGGTGTTCCTCCACAGTAAGAGCCCAGGGAAGCCCAGGTTCAGCAACCAATGTGAATACTCCAGTCACCCTTTTCTCTTAGACAAGACTCTGGTAGCTCTGGATCATGGGCCTCTCTCCTCACTGATGAGCTAGGAGCATGGGCAGCTACATAGATGACCTCTAACAGCCCCTCCAGGAACCTTCCCTGACTCCAGGAGAGACCCAGCAGCTGGAGGATTTAATGGTAGACAAGAGGGACAGGTCCAGTCCAGCTGAGAACATTCAGGGTTCACTTGGCCTCCCTGCAGGGAAAGCAAGCTGGGGCTGCACAAGTCTGAACAGGCAGCCTCACTAGGGACAAGGGTGAGCAAAGGGACAGCTGGCTCTGAAAAGTGGCCTGGGCCACTCCATGGCCTCCCCCAGCTGTTCCTGCCCCCAACTCCTGTTGGCCAGTGCAGATGTCTCTCCTCTTGATCCTGGGAGCTCCTCAGTTCTCCTGCTTCCCCTAAACTGCAGGGCGGGTACAGGTTCCTCTTGCCCCTGACACAGCCAGCAAGGCCCCAGGTTGGATCTGTGCTCATTTTTCTCTTGTGTTGAATGAGTTGAACGAGTTGAACTCATTTGATGACTGCTTCACTCCTGGGCCCCTCTCTTCTATGTCCCAAGCCTGAGAAAAGGATGTCTTCACCCTAAGACCTCAAAGTCAGCCATCTGTGCAGTGTGCTCGACTCCTGCTCTCCCCTAGTGAGTCTTTCTATCCATCTAGACTCTCCGCACCCCATCCCTTCACTCTGCCCTTCTGATGCCCTCTAGAAATGCCAGCCTGCTCACTGGCCCTGGCCCCCGACCCAGGCTGCCTCTCACCCCTCTGTGTGCCTGTCGTGCCCTCAGCCAAGCCCTCCCCACCTGTCCCACTTTCCCAACACACATGCTTTTCCAGTTTCGATTTAGGTTTCAGTTCTTCCTGGTCTTTCCAGAGCCACAGGCCTTCCCTCCGGCCTGCAGCCTTGGATTGATGCCTCTCTTTGCCCTCCGCCACATCACGATGAAAAGATCTGTTGATAGATCCCTGGTCCATGAGCTCCCTGACCTACACAGACTTGTCTCTGTGCCCTGAGTCCTAGCTGATAGCAGGTGCTCAACAAATAATACTGAAGTTGAAAGACTGAACTGTGGAATAGGAGGCACTTCTAGGACCCTAGAAGGAATGAGGTCCCTGCTGTTTCCAGCCAGCTTTCCCATCTGTTACCCCGTGACTCTGGGGGTACAGCTTTAGGGAGCCCCAGGGTCTCAGTCCCCAGTCATTCATCTCTGAGCTGGGCAGATGCCTGCCCTCAGTCACAGGACACCTGCCTACTTCCCCAGCTGGGAAGGCAAGGGTTGGACAGCCTGCAGCCCCTTCATCTCAGGGCCTAGTCACAGGAGGATGTCTGAGCAGGTGACCCTGGAAGAGGGTGGCCAGTGTGCCCTAAGATCTAGGGCTAGGTCTGGTGGGAGCTTAATGGGACCACATGGGGGGGGCAGTTCTGTGGATGGGAGATGTCCCCATATGACCAGGCCCTGCCTCTGCCTCTGCCTATCCTGATTCTGTGGCTCACAATTGGGATCAGGAGGGGAGGACCCTGAGATTTCAGAAATTTCTGAGGAATGGTGACACAAAGAAAGAAAGAAACCCCTTCAACTAGGAAGAAAATGGACAAAGAGAGGAGCTGAGGAGGAAGAAACTGGTGAGGTATGTCTGCAGCAGTCTTGGTTTTAAGTCTAGAAACTCTGAGCCCCAAGACCTGCCTCAGCCCCGGGCAATGTAGGACAAGTGACGCCCAGCATGGGCAGGGAGAGGCCAGCCACAGGGAACAGCTTCACACTTCTTCCCTTGGAGGCCCAGGACAGACTTGTTGGGCTCCTTGCTCTTTCCAGAATCTCAAGGGCCCATCCTCATCCCCGAGCCCACCCAAGGTGCTATAGCTGGCCCCAGCTTGTCCATGAGAAGCAAGGACCCTGTTCCTTCCCACTACCTATGATCCCGGTGTGTGCCCACCAAGTGGCCTTACCTGTCAGAGGAGGCTGCCGCCACCTGGGAGATCTCTGGGAGTTGTGGCAAGCTGACTGCAGGAGAGCGACCTTTGTCCTTACTCCCCTCCTCTAGGAACTGCCTTCACCATATAAGGGAAGATAGGGCTCCAGAGAAAGAGAATGGCTGAGGGGGTGGGGAGGCAGGTGCCCGCTGGGTCCCTGGGCACCCACAGTCCAGTGACAGCCTGCCAGCCTGAAGTGATGAACCCCACCCTTGGCTCCAGAGCCAGCCAGAGAGCACTGGGGATGGGGCTCATTTCCGCCCAGGGCCTGGGCTGCAGGTGGACAGTGCTTGCCAAGGAGGGGCACAGGCTCTAGACTCTCCCTCCTGCCCACAACTGTCCTCCTCCTGCCCTGGGCAGTGGAGCTCTTGGGGTCTCGGAGCCCGGAACCAAGGGGCAAGGCCAGAAATTCACAGTGAGGGCCCTTCAAGGGCAGACAGGGCACCCTCAGAGGTCCCTTCAACTTGCTCATGCCCACTGAGGCCTTTCTTGTCCCCTCCACTTTGGGGGCACAATCTCTTCCTAGAGTTTTTATGAGTTGCCATAAACCAGCGCCTTTGGACTCTGCTCTGCTGCCCTCTTCCAGGAGCCAGGGCTTCGGCTTTCCACCCTTGCACCTCGGGGTCCGCGTCACTGGGACAGGAAAGGGCTGCAGCCCACTCTGCTGTGCGGCACATTAGATTCAGCACTGTAGAATCCCCTGCACTCCAGGGCTTAGGAGGGTGAGACCAAGCGGGCTGGGGAGGGCGGGCCTTGCTCCTGACCATACCCTGCCAAGAGCTCCCAAGAACAAAACTAGTGTGTGTGCACAGGTGTGCACTGCAGGTGCTATTTTGTTCATTTTACTTCCATTTATTTTTTGGATAGTGGGGAAACTGCTGAGGTAGAGGGCCAGTGTTTTTGGGTTTTCATTTGTGTTTGGTTGTGTTTGTTTTTGAGAAGGACTTTTTGTTTTGTTTTGTTTATTTATTTATTTTTTGTATTTGAAAATTTTATTGATAAACAGATAGCAATGAGACAGTTTCAAATCAAATCGGAAGTACAATTTCAACAAATAACACACTGCATATATTCTTCTTAGTGGTTAATTGCTGTACAAGATGCGAACTTAAGATCCTATTTACAAACACCATTAGAACAAATAATTCTATTCATTAACAGAATGTAACTATATATCTATCCTAACCACTTTGAATACACAGATACAAAATGGACATTCATCTGTATACCCTATTTTTCTAAGT